AGGTCATGATCCTGGGGTCCTGGGATCGAGCCCCACGTCTGGCTCCCTGCTCAGCGGAGAGCCTGCTTCTCCCTCTCCCTCTGCCTGCCACTCTGACTACTTGTGCTCTCTCTCTATTTGAAACACAGTTAGAGAGGGAACACAAGCAGGGGCAGAGGGAGAGGGAGAAGCAGGCTTCCCATGGAGCAAAGGAGCCTGATTTGGGACTCGATCCCAGGACCCTGGGATCACGACCTGAGCCGAAGGCAGACGCTTAACAGACTGAGCCACCCAGGCATCCCCCATAAATATTTTAGATTATTAATCTATGACAGATGCAAAAGTATAGGGGTAGGAATATTACAAACATTCATGTTATACAGGAACAACCCATAGACCACCTGGAGCGGGATTAGCACCAGGCAAAGTTGTAAAATCGGTGAAATCTTTCATGAGTGCCACTACTCACAATACTTTCACGCATTTCTCACCTCTTCCCATTAAAACCTGCTCTTCTCAGGAAAAAATCAGAGGTGTACAGAACTGAGAACAGCTTAAAAGTGCTACCTCACTCACAGAAGGAGAAATGAGGAAGGGAAACATTTGCTGGACCAGGCACTTTACATATATTATTCCTTTTTTTTGTATATTATCCCATGTAATCCTCACAAAAGCCATGTGAATGAGGAACTACTGTCTCCATTTCACAGAGGGGAAAACTGAGGCCCAGAGAGATGAAATGATTTGTCCAAAATCACAGGCACACAATTAAAAAATAGCAGAATTAGGATTTCTACTCAAGCTTGTCAAGTTCCAAAGCCCATGTTCTTTCTGTCACAACCCACCACCTCTCCAAGGTGGTGGAGTTTGTATTGCAATAGGGATGAGAGCCATAAATTAAAAGAACCAACCTAGAGATAAAATGTCATAGAACTACACACACACACACAAACACACGTTAAAAACTAGCAAAATTTGAGTAAGGCTTGGAGTCCAGTTAACAGTATCATAGCAATGCCAAGTTCCTGGTTTTGATATTGTACTATACTTTATGTAAGCTATTAACTTCAGAGAAAGAGTAAAGGGTACATGGGACTCTACTACTTTTATAATTTCCTGTGGTCTAGAGTTACTTAAAAATAAAAGGTTAAAAAAATCTCAGTAGAAATAAATAAAATTAAATCAAGAATAAACCTCTACTGGGCACCTGGGTGGCTCAGTTGGTTGAGCGACTGCCTTCGGCTCAGGTCATGATCCTGGAGTCCCCAGATTGAGTCCCACATCGGGCTGCCTGCTCAGCAGGGAGTCTGCTTCTCCCTCTGACCCTCTTCCCTCTCGT